AGGGGGTGGGTCGAGTGGAGGGGGGTGGGGGATGAATAATGAAGTCACTGACTTACTCGGGAAACTCTCAATGAGCCTCAAGGATCTCTGTGGTCGTAGGCGGCGTTTGTATTCGTGTGTACGCGTGTCGCTACGCGTGTCGCTACGCGTGTCCCACTGGGGAGACAAAGGCCGCGAGATGCGGTTCTGGCCACCCACCCCCTCGTGCGCCGTGCCGATCTTCACAGGTGCTCGCTAACAGCACTTGTCCCAACAGTCCGTTAAGGCGACACGGGGGACCTTTGCCTGTGGCCGGGGGGAGCGGTGGTGCCCTGGCTAGCGCCGATGTCGCACGAATTCGGCCACCCGCGTTTGATTCCCACTCGTGGAGGATTAACATCTGTGGCGATTATTATCGGGCACGGGGCCCAACGACATCCCCCTCCCTCCTCTAGGTAGATTGTGAGCTCGCTTAGGGGAGGGCATTTGCCAATCACCGACCCACGCCTCTTACCCCCCCTCGTCCACACCCCCCAACCCTACCCCCAGCCCCCCTGTAGACTCGGGACCCCCCCCCCCCCCCCGCGTGTGGACGAGGGAAGCCACTGTGTTAAGTTTCCAGGGAGATTCCGGGAGGAATCCCTCCGCAGGGCCGGTTTGTGTGGCCCCGTGCGCATCGTGGGCGAACCGCGGGCGGGCGGGAGAGAGAGAGCGGGAGGGAGAGGGGTGGAGAGAGTTCCAGAGCGTTGGAGTGCGAGGTGGGGGGCTGGTGAGTGCGAGAGAGAGAGTGTCTTGTTAGTCGTGTGAGAGAGGAGAGAGAAAGAGAGAGGCGAGGGGGTAATGAGAGTGTGAGAGAGTCTTTTGTTCTTCCTATGTAGAGCGTTTGTTTGCACACAGCGCGCCACACGTGTCTCCAAGTTGTTGTGTTTACCCACGTGTGTGTGTGTGTGCACACGTGTGTGTGTGTGTGTGCACACGTGTGTGTGTGTGTGCACACGTGTGTGTCTCAGCCTCAAATGAGTACCTGGTGCGGTGTGTAAACATTGCCACTAGGGAGACAAAGGCGGTCGGGCGTGGTGCTGGCCACCCACCCCCTCGTGTACCGTTCCGGCCTTCATAGGTGCTCGCTAACAGCACTTGCCCCTACAGTCTGTTAAGGCTATATGGGGGATCTTTGTCTTTTTGTGTGTGCGTGTAAGACTGTGAGGAGAGCGATGGTGCAGTGGTTAGCGTGCTGCGCTGTGAACCTGGCGACCCGGGTTCGATTCCCGGCCAACACCGGTGGCGATTATCTGAAGCGGTCCTGGGCCTTCCCTAGGTCGACTCAGCCTCAAATGAGTACCTGGTGCGGTGTGTAAACATTGCCACTGGGGAGACAAAAAAGGCGGCCGTGCATGGCGCTAGCCATCCATGTGCTGTCCCCGCCTTCATAGGTGCTCGCTAACAGCACTTACCCCAACAGTCTGTTAAGCTTTTACGGGGGATCTTTGTGTGTGTGGCTACACGCGTGTGTGTGGCTACACGTGTGTGTGTGTGTACCTCACGGGCCATCATACCACAGTGGCTTGACAAAAAACGCTGTCCACGTGCAACATCAACCATAATTATTTCTGCAAATGAATAACATGACGACCTTTACGAGCGGCGTTACTTAGTATAGCTGCGGCGCACTGCCGGGGTTCGGTTCGGCAAAAAAAATACCGGAGGATCCAACAGACAGACGAACATTGCAGATGTTCACCCTACCTCTCCAGCCTCTCGATATGCTCTAACGAGGGGCCGTTGCCCGAAACGTCAGCTATATTTTTTCCCTCCCTTTTAACGTGTTTGAAATTAAACATTGCAGGAGATACTCTTTTTTTATCTCGCCGGGATCGGGCCACGTAAAATAATCCGGTCCGAATTTTAACGGAAAATGAAAAAAAAAATGTTGACACATCATCCCTTGAAACAACGTATCGACTGAATATTCGCAATAACAAACAAGGATAACATTTGGCTGTCAAACCCCAACGTGCTGAGTCAGCCAAAGCAAAAGTGACTCACTGAGAGCCCCTAACTCGGTCGTGGGCGTCACGCGCCGAGTTGTCCAGCGTGGTTGCTGGCCTTGTTTACATCTTACAGAACTACAGCTCTCCGACTGGCCCGGAATTATTTTGTGAAATGTAATTGATGATAACCATCATCATCATCTGAATGCCCGCTTTGTTAACGTGTGTGTGTTCTGTACGTATGCATGTGTGTGTGTGTGCATGTTGTCCGTGTATAAATGTCTCTGATTCTGTATGTGGCCATGTGAGTGTTTGCTGTGTGTGTGTTGGCTGGGTCACGGAGTCCGTATGCCCGGCCACCGCATGCCTACAAATATTTTGTTTCAGCCTGATAGAGGGGGCTAAACTGGCGCGGCACGGGCTAGAGAAGAGATGGAGTGATGTGGTACAGGAGGACGTGGAGCTGAGTGGACTTGCCGATGACTGGTACCAGCGGTGTCAAGATCGGCCTCTGTGGAGGAGGCTCGTGAAGGACGCTACTGGGCAGTTGGAGGCAGTCGCCCTCCAGCAACAACGGAGGGCGGAGGAGCGACGCTCACAACAACGAGCAGAGCGCCGGGTGGTTAACATACAGCAAGTTGGCGCAGGAGGGGTTACAGCTGGTGCATCAGCCAATCATCTCAGTCAGCCAACCCATGGCACCGGGGTCTGTCCCGAGACCTCCTGCCAGCGAGCTTTTGACACTTCACGTAGCCTCAAAGTGCACCTGGCCTGGCACAGGCGGCGTGGTGACGTCACCGTAAATTAGTGGCGAATGACGGGTATTGGTTTGTTGACGTGTGTGTATGTTGTTATTGACGTATGTGTGTATGTTGACGTGTGTGTATGTTGACGTGTGTGTGTATGTTGACGTGTGTGTATGTTGACGTGTGTGTCTTCAAAACATCTCAATGCAATCAAACGTTTATTTGTCTTCGCTCTTCATTATTCCTGCCAGAGCCGGCATCTGGCATGGCATTTGGAAACTCAGGGCGCGGGGGTGGATTTAGTGGTGTGTGAAGTGAAGGGATATGGGGAGAGGGTGCACGGGGAGGTTCAGGGGGGTGAGAGGGGGATCACCATAGTTTGGAGAGTTTGATGGAAGGGGGGGGGGGTGTCAGGGATTGAAGTGCCAAGTTGTTCCGGGTGGGATGGAGCAGACTGATTGATGATGGTGATGATGATGGTGATGGTAGTTCAGAGTTCAAGTTTATTTCGTTTAAACCAGGGGGGACCACGACAGGGTCGCGTTCGCAAGAGTGACTGATCTGGGTGGGGTCACCAAAAATTTACGAAAGCAAAGACGTGGAATCTAAATCGGGCCAATGAAGGGATATTAATCGGCGTCGATGCAATCGAACAGAGATCAGGGCGAAAACAAAGCCCGCGTTAGAGTAGACAGCGAAAACATATCGATATTGAGAAGACGAATGTTAAATTCCAGGAACGAAAGTTGGCCCGGACGAAATTTCCAGTGAAAAACGATTGATAGGAAAATTCAATTCCAAGAAGATTGAAGGTGAATTGCTGCAACTCAAATGTGAAGAGGTGATGAGGGGATCGGCGGGGAATAACGAGGTTATGGAGTCAACAAGAAATATATCTTACTAACACTCACGGCACAAGCAGAAGTATATTCATTAATTTAGAAAGTGTTTATCCATCTGGCAAAACTTAGCCCACTGCTCACCCAGTCTCTGTGCATATCTATGTGTCTATATCAGTACCTGTGTGTCGCTATGAGTCTCTATGCATCTCGATGAGTCTCTATGAGTCGATCTGGGGAAGGCCCAGGACTGGTTCAGATAATCGTCACCGGTGTTGGCCGTGAGTGGTAATCGAACTCGGGTCGTCTGGTTCGTAGCGCAGCGCGCTAACCGCTACACTACCGCTCCCCACCGATGTACAGACGCACACACACATAGGCACAATGCACACATACAATCCGTACAAACTCAGTTTACATAAAAACCCGCAGAGGTCTTTATCTCATCAGATCATCACAACCCCGCTCGCTGGGTGACACCTGGAATGCGCCCTGTCTCTCGCTACAAAAATACACGGGGATAAAATCGCCCCCCCCACCTCCCTCCTGAATCCCCCTTCCCCCCTCCCCCATCTCGCACATTGAGACGATGAGCGGGGGTACAGGGACCCCTTGGAGGGGGTCCCGATACCACCTACAGGCAGCAGTCAGGGTGATGGATTCATTCGGCCAATCCACTCCTCCACTCACTCGGCTCAATTTGCGGCCGGTCGCCTCCTCATCGCTCGTCTATCGCTACTGGCACGGTCACCTGTCCCGTGGACTGCTCCCCGTGATTCCTCGGCCCGTGTTGAGCTCGCCGACTGTTTCGTCTCATCCACACTGCGGAAACTCCCGCACCTCCCATTAGCACGGTTGGCTACTACGTACGGAGCGAAATAAGTTCAACGCGCATACACACACACACGGCCCTGTCGCTGGATGGTGGAGGGTTCTAGTTAAATAATTGGCATTATATCCCCCACACGATTTGACGCAATGTAAGCGATTTATTACGCATGGCATCATATCGTTGTGTCTGCATAGCGTCTATATTGTATTTGAGTGAGTGGGGTATCTACAAATGGATCGCCCTCCATACCGTGGAGAGTTTCAAGTTGATTTTCGCGGAACCGCGTGAGACCTCAAGCCACGGTGACCTGGGTCACCCAAAATAACACAATTAATCACGTGAAAAGGATACGTGATTAAGATGATAAGTTCCGGACGAAATCAATAATATTGCCCAAACATAAGTCGCATTATTACATTATTGACAAAATACATCTCAGCAACTTACAAAGTAGAATGCTCTACATCTCGTGGAACAGAAAACGCACCGAATAAAATAACTTTTTAAACCCTCATCGGAATATTTCCAAACAATACACTTCGACACGCGAGACGTGTGATCGCAATCTGCACTGCCTAACCCCCCCATCCCCCCTCCCGTAATCTTTCCGCAGTGCCCCCCGTAATCATCAAACGGGAGCCGAGCGATGACCTCCTCAACCAGCTGGACGCGGGTCCCCCACTTCACTCGTTGGGTGAACCCCCATTCTCATCGGCAAGCACGTGGTTCCGCGACACACCCCTGCCCATCCCCTACCCTGGCCATGCCACGCAGCACCATCATCATCAGCAGCAGCATCATCATCAGCAGCAGCATCATCAGCAGCAGCAGGTGCCCACAGTTGAACAGAGGCCCCGCTACCTACACGAGCGTCGTGCTACTGCTGCTGCGTTCTCGGCTGACTGTGACCAAGGATACGTCAACAATCATCTACAGCCGCTGGTTCAACCTCTCAATCACCAGCAGCAGCAGCACAACAACCACCACCACCAGAACAACCACAGCAACAATCACAGCAACAACCACAACAATAACAATCATCACCACCAACAGAATAGCCATCATCATCACCACCAACATCATCATCAGCAGCAAGAGCAGCACCAGCAACATCAGCAGCAGCAGCAAGAGCAACAACATCATCAGCAGCAGCAGCAAGGGCTGTTCGAGGAGGCGATGTTCGCAGGGAAGCGGTCGTTCTCCACCGCCGTGTTCGCCTCCTTCCCGCACTGCCCTCCGGGTCGCCTGCATCTGCTGAACGGGCGAGGGGCTTTCCCCAGGGTCGCGGGGGAGGAGCCCGGGGGACGGGGGCCAGGGGAAGGCTTCCACACGAGCCAGCAGCAGCAAGAGCAACAACAACATCAACATCATCATCATCAGCCGCAGCCCCCCACCGCCGCGGCCGGCCAGGGGTCTCCGCCGACGTCAATGGCGAGCCACGTGCCGCTGAGCGCCATCAAACAGGAGCCGCTGGAGACGCCGCCCCGAGGGCAAAGCATCACGCTGGACGACGGTGAGAGGGCCCGGGTGGTGGTGGTGGTGGTGACGGTGGTGGTGATGGTGGTGGTGGTCTAGACGACGTTAGCGGGAGGGATGATGATGATCAACATGATGATCTGAACAACGATGAGCGATGATCATGATAATGACCTCGATGCCGTGCGGTGATGATGATAACACCGTGTAACAAAAAAATGTTCCTGGGTGTTAAGTGTTATTTCCGAATTGCTTATGCATCCAAAGTACGTAAAATGGCTATTCAAATTAATTTGTTTTTTGTCTAAAGTCACGTAGATAGGTTAAAAGAAAATAACAAAAAAATAACATAATACTATAATAAAATATTTTCTTTGAATCTATCTACGTGACTTTACCGAAAGACCCAAGAATACGAACTCCTGCAGTCACGAACGCTTTAAATCAAGATTAAGAATGATTATTATTCCCCACAAACTTTGCGTTTGTGACCAGGACAGTGATATTTTGAAATGTACCTATTTTAAATTGAGATAACGTGGTGTGCATTTGTGTCCTTCGTTCACATAAAGTCCTGGTCACAAAAGCAAAGTTTGTGGGGAATAATAGACATTTTCTATAGTTTTTAGGCATAAGCAATAAAAAATATAACACTTAGTACCCATGAACAAAAATCGTGTTGCATAGTGCAATGAGGATGCCGTGGTAAGGATGCTGCTGCTGATAATGAATAACCTGGACAATGTAGAGTGCACATGTGGAGGGTGGTGACACCTCTTTGCAGTAGTGATTATGTTGATGACTCGTGATGATGATCGCCCTGTATGGCAGTGAGTAACGGGAATTGCGGTCGGGAGCGGTGGCGCAGCGGTTAGCGCGTTGCGCAACGAACCCAGCGACCCGAGTTCGATTCCCCGCTAACGGTCAACACCCAGTGACGATTATGTGAACCGGTCGACTCAGCCTCAAACGGGTATCTGGTGCGGTGTGTAAACATCGCCACTGGGGAGACAAAGGCGGCCAGGCGTGGTGCTGGCCACCCACCCCCTCGTGTGCCGTCCCGCCCTTTATAGGTGCTCGCTAAAAGCACTTGCCCCAACAGTCTGTTACAGGCTATACGGGGGATCTTTGTCTTTGTACGTGTGTGTGTGTGTATGTGTGTGTATATACGTGTGTTTGTACATGTGTATCTGTGTGTACGCGTGTGTGTGTTTGCGTGTGTGTACATGTGTATGTTTGCGCGTATTTGTGTTTTCGTGTGTGTACGTGTATGCGTGTGTGTGTGTACGTGTGTGTATTTGTATGCGCGTGTGTGTTTACATGTGTATGTGTGTGGTCCCCCTCTTTAAGAAGGGGGACCGCACAGATTGTAACAACTACAGGGGCATCTCACTCCTCAGTGTGTCGGGAAAGGTCCTGGCAAGGATTATTCAACATCGCCTTGCCAAGCACGCTGAGGAGAGGCTTGCGGAGCCCCAATGCGGTTTCAGGAAAGGGCGGTCCTGCACAGATGCCATATTTTCTGTCCGTCTGCTACAGCAGAGGTGTAAGGAATTTCAGCAAGACCTACATCTCTGCTTTATTGACCTGGTCAAGGCCTATCATACCATCAGTAGGCCTGGGCTCTGGGTTGTTCTTCGTGCTTTTGGAGTCCCTGACCCTCTGCTCACGATCATTAAGGACCTTCATGATGGTGAGCGGGCCCGGGTAAAACTACGTGGCCGGGAGTCAGAGCCATTCCCTGTACACCGTGGGGTGCGACAGGGATGTCCTCTGGCTCCCACATTCTTTAACATCTATTTTGAGCACGTAGTTCGTGAAGCCGTCAATAGCTGTACCGGGGGAATCTCCATTTGGTACAGATATAATGGGAGGCTGATCGATGCCCAGGTGCGGTCAAGGGATGGCTCCCTATTGCTCAACCATGTTATGTATGCCGATGATTTGGTAATAGCTGCTCATTCAGAGGAGGTTTTGGAGACGCTACTGCTGAGACTGGAGCGTGCAACTAAGAGATGGGGCCTTACCATCAGCCCCATCAAAACTAAGCACCTGCCTGGGTATTTTATACCATCGGACACTCCACCCCCACAACGCCCAATCGGTGATGGGGCAGTGGAGAGTTTCCCATACCTGGGCAGTGTGCTTATGACCGGCTCCAGTTTAACAGCAGAGGTCTCACTTCGAATCAGTCGAGCGGCAATATATCTTCATCGGTTGCGTAACGCTGTGTGGAAGCTACCTGGTCTGTCGCTCGGCACTAAGCTTCAGGTCTTCTCGGCCACGGTCATTGCCTCCCTTCTCTACGCTTGCGAAACGTGGACCCCCCTAATGGAACATCTTCGCCGGTTAGAAACATTTAGGCTAACCTGCCTACGATCCTTCTTGGGTTTAACCAGGCTGGATTGTGTGAGGAGCTCACAAATCCTTGAAAGATCTGGGCAAGGTCTCATCGGTGAGCTCCTCCGGCAGGCAAGGCTGCATTGGCTGGGTCATGTAGTCCACATGCCCAGCCACCGCATGCCGAAACAGCTTTTGTTCGGCCGGATCGAGGGGGCTAAACGGGCGCGGCACGGGCTAGAGCAGAGATGGAGTGATGTGGTACAGGAGGACGTGGAGCTGAGTGGACTTGCCGATGACTGGTACCAGCGGTGTCAAGATCGGCCTCTGTGGAGGAGGCTCGTGAAGGACGCTACTGGGCAGTTGGAGGCAGTCGCCCTCCAACAACAACGGAAGGCGGAGGAGCGACGCTCACAACAACGAGCGGAGCGCCGGGTGGCTAAAGCAAAGCAGGTTGGCACAGTAGGGGGCACAGGTGGTGCATCAGCCAGTCATCTCAGTAATCTCAGTCAGTCGACCCGTGGCACCTGGGTCTGCCCCGTGACCTTCCTACCAGCGGGCGTTCGACACTTCACGCGGCCTCAAGGTGCACATGGCCTGGCACAAGCGTCGTGGTGACGTCACCGCCACTTAGTGGCGAATGGCGGTTTGTTGTCGTTATGTGTGTATATGTGCGTGTGTGTGTTTACGTGTGTGTACGTGCATGCGTGTGTGTGTGTTTACGTGTGCGTGTGTACGTGCATGCGTGTGTGTGTTTGTTTACGTGTGTTTACGTGTGTGCGTGTGTGTGTGCGTGTGTGTGTGTACGTGTGTACGTGTGTGTTTACGTGTGTGTGTTTACGCGTGTGTGTACGTGTGTGTGTGTACGTGTGTGTTTACGTGTGTGTGTGTTCGTGTGTGTGTACGTGTGTGTGTACGTGTGTGTGTGTACGTGTGTGTGTACGTGTGTGTGTGTACGTGTGTGTGTGTACCCTCCTAAGTGCGGCACATTGAGTCCTCTCGCGGTGCGACTAGAGGAGTAATCACGGCCGCTGATTGAATGGAGCTCCGCTCGGCCAAAATCAACACGGCACCTCCGTTTCAACCGACTGCTGTGGGGATACCGTCGAGGCGGGGCGGGGCGGGGCGGGGTGTGGCGGGTAGCTGGTGGGGGGGGAGAATGGAAGGGGAAGAGGAGAGAGAGGGGAGCGGGGAGGAAGAAGGGAGGAGGTGACCGGACGCAGATGAAGCACTTTTACGCACACAAAATAATTGTGTCTTTTGCACATTCTATTTGCCGGAGCAACACAAAGTGGCGCTTGCGCCAGGCTAGGTGCACCTTGAGGCCGTCACGTGAAGTGTGGAAGGCTCGCTGCTGGGAGCAGGAGGTCACGGGACAGACCCAGGTGCCATGGGTGACTGGCTGGGGATGACTGACAAGATGCGCCTCGTGAACTGACCCCACTGTGCCAACTCACCGGGGTTTAGCCGCACCAGCGCTTCGCTCGTTGCAATGCTGAAATGTGCAACACGATGTGTGTGTGTGGATAACAAGGTCTTCAAGCCAGGAGCCCCTATAAATGCTTGGTGGGTGTCGACTAATCGGCGGAGCAGCGGGGGGGAGTGTAGAATCACGTGTGTTGTGATACACGCTGTGTGTGTGGTGTAGCCTTCATAGGTGCTCGCCAACAGCACTTTCCCCAACAGTCTATTAAAGGCTACACGGGGGATCTTTGTCTCTATTTTTGCGTATGGGTGTGTGTGCCTCAATGGCCCGCGATCACAAATCGCTCTTTAATTCCATCAAAAAGTTACCTGCAACGCCACACCTATTGCCATCATTAGGGGAAAGAACGGTCATCCAAACTCCGACCCACAGGAACAGGTTTGCAGATTTCCTGAGCATTTCTGTGGGATCCTGGGGGAGGGGAAATCTCTCAGAATGGAAAATATCATGGGATAAAGTGAGGATGACCCTGCTGAGGCTGCGGTGCCTCAAATATTGGAAGACGTCAACCCCTGTGAGAGACTGACTGAGTGCCATATGTTGAGGAAAGTACTGAAGGCGATCCAGAGCCTGAGACCAGGAAAGGAACCGGGCAGAGATGTTCTCCCAAGCGAAATGCTGAGGGAGGGTGGCGTTTGTGCACAGACTGCACTACATGACATCATAACAGTCTGGACCACTGGATAGGTTCCGCAGGATTGGAAGAATGCCCTGGTGGTTCCCCTTCTTTAAGAAGGGGGACCGCACAGACTGAAGAACTACAGGGTCATCTCACTCCTCAGTGTGCCGGGAAAGGTCCTGGCAAGGATTATTCAACATCGCCTTGCCAGGCACGCTAAGGAGAGGCTTGCGGAGACCCAATGTGGTTTCAGGAAAGGGCGGTCCTGCCACAGATGCCATATTTTCTGTCCGTCTTCTACAGCAGAGGTGTAGGGAATTCCAACAAGACCTACATCTCTGCTTTATTGACCTGGTCAAGGCCTATGATACCACCAGTTGGCCTGGGCTCTGGGTTGTTCTTCGTGCTTTTGGAGTCCCTGACCCGCTGCTCACGGTAATTAAGGACCTTCATGATGGTGAGCGGGCCCGGGTAAAACTACGTGGCCGGGAGTCGGAGCCATTCCCTGTTCTCTTTGGGGTGCGACAGGGATGTCCTCTGGCTCCCACATATTTAATAACTATTTCGACCACGTAGTTCGTGAAGCCTTCAGTAACTGTACCGGAGGAATTTCCATCTGGTACACATACATTGGGAGGCTGATCGATGCCCGGGTGC